GTGTGCTCTTCCGATCTCCCCAAAACCCCAAAACCCCTAAAGCATTAAAAAGTGAATGTAGAAGTCTAATGAATTTATCAAATAAATGCATATGCAAAATTAATTAGTAATTAAAGCAATGGACAAATAAATTAGTCATAGAGATTTTGCTTATGCGACAATGATAACAGAGGATAGTTACTTGCCCGGACTGCAAGTTATGCATTATTCTCTTAGAAAATTTACACAGAGAACTTTAGTAGTGATTATGACTGAAAATGGTATAAATTTCTATGAATCATAAATTTGCACATAGTCAATAGAATAACATTAATGCATATTAAAAAGCTCAGCAATGTACTCATAAAAAAAGTAAAGCCAATTGGAAATCCTAATGAAAAAAATGAAAAAGATGCATCTTGGATTGGTTCGGGATACACGAAGTTTTACATATGGAGTTTAACTCAATATAAAAGAGTAAATTCATCATTTTTTAATCATAAACTGCCTAGATCTTTTACATAGATGCTGACTGCTTGATAATGTAAAATCCCGAAAATATTTTCTTGAGAGATACTAAATTTGCAGCAGCACCTGATGTTTTTCCGCCTGATAAATTCAATGCTGGTGTTCTTTATATTGTAATTATAAAATCCTTATAACTCTTGATAGGAACCAAGCATGAAAATATTCACTGATCTAATTAGTAAAATTTAAATACTTTCAACTTATGATGGAGGAGACACTGGCTTCCTTAATGCTTATTTTCCAAATTGGTTTGAAAGTGATTCTGAGAGTAGATTACCCTATGGTTACAATGCATAAAGGACATTATATTGGTTTACAATCAAGAGAACTGATGGTTATTGGAAAGAAGTTGAAAATACAAAGGATGGTATAATAATCATACATTACTCCTCTAGTCCGAAACCGTGGTCATCCTAGCAAAAAGGTGATTTAGAATTAGAGTGGTTTAAGTATTATATGGAATCAATGTCAAGTTTAAAATGATTAAGAGTTGCGATTATTAATTAATTTGAAGAAAATCTCGATTATCTAAATGTTGGGGTTTTGGGGTTTTGGGGTTTTGGGG